GCGGATTCAGTTATTAGTAAAGCCGAAGTCAACGAAAGTACTACCATGAAAAGGTTAAAACCTCAAGCTCGAGGACGTAGTTATCCGATAAAAAGACCCACCTGTCATATAACAATTGCATTGAAAGATATATCCTTAGATGAAGAAAATCAAAATTTCATATGGTTAAAAAAACATGGATGGATGTATAGAGATAAGTATACAGGTAGAGTGCGTACTGAAAAATATAGTAGCGGGGTGGTATGGGTCAAAAAATAAATCCACTTGGTTTCAGACTTGGTACAACCCAGGGGCATCATTCCCTCTGGTTTGCACAACCAAAAAGTTATTCTGAGGGTCTCCAGGAAGATCAAAAAATACGAGATTGTATCAAGAATTTTGTACAAAAAAATATGAGAATATCCTCAGGTTTCGAGGGAATTGCACGTATAGAGATTCAAAAAAGAATTGATCTGATCCAAGTCATAATCTATATGGGATTTCCAAAGTTGTTAATAGAGAGTAGACCACGAGGAATAGAAGAATTACAGATCAATGTACAAAAAGAGTTTCATTCTGTAAACCGAAAGCTCAACATTGATATCACAAGAATTGCAAAACCTTATGGGCAACCTAATATTCTTGCAGAATTTATAGCCGGACAATTAAAGAATCGAGTTTCATTTCGAAAGGCAATGAAAAAGGCTATTGAACTAACTGAACAAGCAGATACAAAAGGAATTCAAATACAAATTGCAGGGCGTATCGACGGAAAAGAAATTGCACGTGTCGAATGGATCAGAGAAGGTAGAGTTCCCCTACAAACCATTCGAGCTAAAATTGATTATTGTTCCTATCCGGTTCGAACTATCTATGGGGTCTTAGGCATCAAAATTTGGATATTTGTAGACGAGGAATAATGAGCCTTTCCCTGTCTTTCCGTTCTATCACTGGATAGAACAAAAAATGACAAACTCTTTCATTCTTTTTACGTTCAATCAAAACAAAAAAGAGCAATTCTAATTCTAATTCTAATTCTATAGGGTTGAATAAAAATTCGATTAACCATTTGGTATAATTGCTATGCTTAGTGTGTGACTCGTCGGTTTTTTATTATTTATAATTTATATTTAGTTTTAGTTTAGGGCTAAGATTCAAAAAACAATGGATCAGTCCTTAGTATTAACTAATAACTATAGAACTAATAACCAGCTCATTGTTTCGTATTATCTGGATCCAAGAAACCAGTCACTATATGATGGATCGATCATATCGTTGTAGCAACTGAAATCTTTTTTGCATAAAGGAAAAAATCGAATTATGGGTTGTGAAGCGAAAATAGAGGGATGTGGATAAATGGAAGGGTGAAAGAAAGAGAGAAAGAGAATATTAATGATATATGATTCCAATATGTATGGTCTATGAAAAATCTCATAAAAGGCAGTGTAATAAAGCATCAATACTGATTCGTCCATAACCATAATTAGATTAATTTGGTTCATAGGAAAAATTCATAGGAAAAAAAAAGAAGTAAAGAGCCACGAGTCAATAAAGACTGAGGAGATTGACTCAGGAACAAATTTCATTAGGAGCTCCGTTGCAAAGTTCAGACCTAGCCATTAATCGAGAAGCGATGGGAACGACGGAACCTGTGACTGCAGAAGATTCTATTAAAAACGAATCCTAATGATTCATTGGGTGGGATGGCGGAACGAACCAGGAATCAATTAATTTATTCTGAGAGGTCATAGGCTGACCTTACGAATGAAACAAATATTAAAAGAGTAAATATTCGCCCGCGAAAGCCTTCTTATTGGATTGCTAAATTTTGGGTGATTCAATAAAGGGCAAAATAAAAGATTCGTTATAAAATAAAAAAAGACATTACATTATCCATAAATAGATATATACGTGTAGTTGCATATACAAACAAGATATAAAAATTCCTACATGACAGATTAAATCTCCACGATTCAGTGTATTTTTCATTAAATACATGCATATTTGTAATATAATATTATTTAAATTTAATCGTTTGATTCGCGAGGAGCTGGATGAGAAGAAACTCTCATGTCCGGTTCTGCAGTAGAGATGGAATTGAGAAACAACCATCAACTATAACCCCAAAAGAACCAGATTTCGTAAACAACATAGAGGAAGAATGAAGGGAATATCTTATCGAGGCAATCGTATTTGTTTCGGTAGATACGCTCTTCAGGCACTTGAACCCGCTTGGATCACATCTAGACAAATAGAAGCAGGGCGGCGAGCAATGACACGATATGCGCGTCGTGGTGGAAAAATCTGGATACGTATATTTCCAGATAAACCTGTTACAATAAGACCTACGGAAACACGTATGGGTTCGGGGAAAGGATCTCCCGAATATTGGGTATCCGTCGTTAAACCGGGTCGAATACTTTATGAAATGGGCGGAGTATCAGAAATTGTAGCCAGAGAAGCTATTTCAATAGCTGCATCCAAAATGCCTATACGAACACAATTCGTTATTGCGGGATAGGGGTGTGGAACCAAAGGAAAGAGATCTGTGCGGTGAAAAAAAACAATCGCAGGTTTTTTTTATTTTTGGACAAAAAATATTTCTTTTTATTCCTTCGCCCTTTACATTGAAAGAACAGATAAAAAAAAATATGATTCAACCTCAGACCCATTTGAATGTAGCGGACAACAGCGGGGCTCGAGAATTGATGTGTATTCGAATCATAGGAGCTAGTAATCGCCGATATGCTCATATTGGTGACGTTATTGTTGCTGTAATCAAAGAAGCAGTGCCCAATATGCCTCTAGAAAAATCTGAAGTGATTAGAGCTGTAATTGTACGTACATGTAAAGAACTCAAACGTGACAACGGTATGATAATACGATATGATGACAATGCAGCAGTTGTCATTGATCAAGAAGGAAATCCAAAAGGAACTCGAGTTTTTGGTGCGATCGCTCGGGAATTGAGACAGTTGAATTTTATTAAAATAGTTTCATTAGCCCCTGAGGTATTATAAATACTAATAGATGAGACCATGATAGGGTATCTGAAATAAATTCAATTAACTGAAAACTGAAAAAAATTCAATTAAAAATGAATTAGTAGATTGTGTCTCACGCATATACCTTTAAAATTCATAAAAAAAAAACAGAGCATGTTGATTATATCGAAACTCGGAGGCACCAATAATTATAATTTGTCATGGGTAGGGACACTATTGCCGACATAATAACTTCTATACGAAATGCTGACATGGATAAAAAAAGAACGGTTCGAATAACATCTACTAATATTACCGAAAACATTGTGAAAATACTTCTACGAGAAGGTTTTATCGAAAACGTGAGAAAACATCAGGAAAACAACAAATATTTTTTGGTTTTAACCCTACGACATAGAAGGAATAGGAAAGGGCCATATAGAACTATTTTAAAACGTATCAGCCGACCCGGTCTACGAATCTATTCTAACCATCAACGCATTCCTAAGATTTTAGGTGGAATGGGGATTGTAATTCTTTCTACTTCTCGCGGTATAATGACAGACCGAGAGGCTCGACGAGAAGGAATCGGAGGAGAAATTGTGTGTTATATATGGTGATCCTTCTGATATCCGAATTGGATCCGTAACTTCCTATTTGTGAAAAAAAAAGAGGAAAGACAAGCTGTCTAATATCACTCCTCCTCCATTAGTTGATACTTCAAGGGGGTTACTTGGAATGAAAGAACAAAAATGGATTCATGAAGGTTTAATTATTGAATCACTTCCCAACGGTATGTTCCGGGTTCGTTTAGATAATGAAGATCTGATTCTAGGTTATGTTTCAGGAAAGATCCGACGTAGTTTTATACGGATACTACCAGGAGATAGAGTCAAAATCGAAGTAAGTCGTTATGATTCAACCAGAGGGCGTATAGTTTATAGACTCCGTAACAAAGATTCGAACGATTAGGTGGCTTTTTCAACATTCTCTTCATGGGGATTACAATTCGAGGTTCAAAATTTCAAGAGACTTATTTTCTTCCAAAGCAAAGAGTAGATTCAGAATTAAGGTAAGGAAGAACAAATATGAAAATAAGGGCCTCCGTTCGTAAAATTTGTGAAAAATGTCGACTGATCCGTAGGCGGGGACGAATTATAGTAATTTGTTCCAACCCGAGACATAAACAAAGACAAGGATAATCTTTCTAAAAAGGGACTCTCTAAAGAATCCGATGTACAAATAAAGAATCTGTTTTGACATGAAATGGATATATCCGTATATCTCTAACTCATATTTATGAGATGATAAAATATGGCAAAACCTATACCAAGAATTGGTTCACGTAGAAACGGACGTATTGGTTTACGTAAGAGTGGACGTAGAATACCAAAGGGAGTTATTCATGTTCAAGCAAGTTTCAACAATACCATTGTGACTGTTACAGATGTACGAGGTCGAGTGGTTTCTTGGTCTTCTGCCGGTACTTGTGGATTCCGGGGTACAAGAAGAGGGACACCATTTGCTGCTCAAACCGCAGCAGGAAATGCTATTCGTACAGTAGTGGATCAGGGTATGCAACGAGCAGAAGTCATGATAAAAGGTCCTGGTCTCGGAAGAGATGCAGCATTACGAGCCATTCGTAGAAGTGGTCTACAATTAAGTTTTGTACGGGACGTAACCCCTATGCCACATAATGGATGTAGACCTCCTAAAAAAAGACGTGTGTAGAAATAAGAATGGAACAGATTTCAAGAGAAATAAATGATTCAATGATCTGATCAAATAATATTACTATGGTTCGAGAGGAAATAGCAGTATCTACTCGGACACTACAGTGGAAGTGTGTTGAATCAAGAGTAGACAGTAAGCGTCTTTATTATGGACGTTTTATTTTGTCTCCGCTTATGAAAGGTCAAGCCGATACGATAGGCATCGCGATGCGAAGGGCTTTGCTTGGAGAAATAGAAGGAACATGTATCACACGTGCAAAATCTGAGAAGATACCACACGAATATTCTACCATAGTAGGTATTGAAGAATCAGTACATGAAATTTTAATGAATTTGAAAGAAATTGTATTGAGAAGTAATCTGTATGGAACTCGCGACGCATTTATTTGCGTCAGGGGTCCTGGATACGTAACTGCTCAAGACATCATCTCACCACCTTCTGTGGAAATCGTTGATACTACACAGCATATAGCTAGCCTGACAGAACCAATTGATTTGTGTATTGGATTACAAATCGAGAGGAATCGCGGATATCGTATGAAAACACCAAATAACTCTCAAGATGGAAGTTATCCTATAGATGCTGTATTCATGCCTGTTCGAAATGCGAATCATAGTATTCATTCTTATGGGAATGGGAATGAGAAACAAGAGATACTTTTTCTCGAAATATGGACGAATGGGAGTTTAACTCCTAAAGAAGCACTTCACGAAGCCTCCCGGAATTTGATTGATTTATTTATACCTTTTCTAGATGCGCAAGAAGAGGACATCCAATTAGAGGACAATCAAAACAAGGTTACTTTACCTTTTTTTACCTTTCATGATAGATTAACTAAACTAAGGAAAAACAAAAAAGAAAAAGAAATAGCATTGAAATGTATTTTTATTGACCAATCAGAATTGCCTCCCAGGACCTATAATTGCCTCAAAAGGTCCAATATACATACATTATTGGACCTTTTGAATAACAGTCAAGAAGATCTTATGAAAATGTTCCATTTTCAGATAGAAGATGTAAAACAGATATTGGACATTCTACAAAAGCATTTCGCAATTGATTTACCTAAGAATAAGTTTTAAATCCATTGGAATTATTTCATCTTTTTTTTATAAAATATAAAAAGAAAATGGATTTTGAATCTTCAACACAGTCCATATATTCGGACTAGATCCAGAAAGATAAAAATAGAATAGATGTATCTAGGGAATAATCGCTTCAAAGCAAATCCTCCCTAGATACATACGTCGTGATATTATATTTTATTTCATTTCATGGTTGAATCAATTTAAAAAAGACCTAAAGTTAGAGATTTATCAATAGGTAATGTTGCTCCAATACCCAACCAAAGGGCTACCGCGATACCGATCAAAAAGACGGTTGTAGCTACTGGACGACGAAATGGGTTTTGGAATTTATTAACATTCTCCAAAAAAGGTACTGTCAATAATCCCGCAGGTACTGAAACCATTAAAAGAACACCCAATAACTTATTGGGTACTGTACGGAGTATTTGAAATACGGGAAAGAAGTACCATTCGGGTAATATTTCCAAAGGAGTTGCAAATGGATCTGCTGGTTCACCAATCATTGATGGTTCTAGAACCGCTAAGCCTACGTTACATGCAATAGTACCTAGAATTACTACTGGAAAAATATATAAAAGATCATTGGGCCACGCGGGTTCTCCGTAATAATTATGACCCATCCCTTTAGCCAATTTAGCTCTTAATACAGGATCATTCAAGTCAGGTTTCTTTGTTATTGGGATAGGTGAATTTTTATGGATCCATCCCCCGAAGGAACCGGACATGATAATTTTTCATCATCCGGCTCGAGCAAGAATCAAAAGAACAAAATGGATCCATATAAAATCTATATGTCATCCATATCCACACATATATGACTCTATGTAAGGTAAGAAAAGATTTACCGGATTCGAATTTCCGGAGTTGCAACTATCCATTGCAAAGAATTTAGTTCTTATAGGTAAATGCTCAATACCCAAGTAGGCTTACAAAGTTGATCATGATCAAGTGCTTTTTGGGTCGTCTCTTGCCTTGCGATTGGTATTTATCCCCAAAATCTCTCGAGTCTTCTTACATACAAAGGATTTACTTGTTACTAATATAGTTTGGCCTCTTTTTTCTTTAGATCCCTTGTATCACTCCGATAGTATCATCGGGATCGATGCAGAGGAAATGAATGCATTTCCATACTATTAAGTAAGTGGATTAGATAGAACATAATCTGGATCATGCCACATCACTTATTCTACTGTACTGGATCTTACGGAGCCTGTTCATGTACAACATGATTCGGGTCTGATCATAGAAAAAATTCTCCTCAAGCGAACCAGCCTATCCTCTGTATGGGGTTTACGCGGTGGTTGGAACAGAGACACATTTGGTTGTGAATTCCAATGTGGCGGATAAAATCACATATCTGCACGGCTCAATCAATAGTTCAAGTCACACACTCCCATAATCCATCTTCTCTTCGGAGAATCCACTTCAACTATTCGTATTAAAAAAATAATACAATATTGCGGAGTTGAAGGGAAATATCCAAATACATGTCTTATTCTTTTCAATAATCCATATTTGTAGCAATGAAATACTATTGTTCCTCCCCAAAATGATATATGATTGATTACAAATATCTATAATCTGGATTCTCTATAAAGGACCAGAAATACCTTGCTTACGTATCATTGGGAAGTGCATTAACATAAATACGGCAGTAAGAAGAGGTAATACAAAAGTGTGTAAACTATAAAAACGAGTCAAAGTGGATTGACCCA